AAAAAAAAAAAAAAAAGGTTGATATACCCCAGAGCTCAGTTCTTTTTCCACATATGTTTATTCTCTGGGTGAACAGATCTAGTTTTGTGACTAACCACTTAAGAGTGCTGTGGAGGAAGAGAAGGAAGAAATCTCTCTAATGCTGGTGGAAAAGTAAACTGATTTTATCTTTTTGTTATTTTAGTTTTCTAAGACAGGGCCTACATAGCTCAGGCTACAATCAAACTCACAACCCTCCTGCCTTAGCGTCCCAAGTACGGGATTATAGGTATGTGGCCACCTTGCCCAACTTGATTATATTTTTTTTAAGGACAACTGAATTGGATGTCTCAGAATTTCTTATATAGTCCTGAGATCCCATGCATACTAGGCTACAGCAAGCTCTGAAACAATGTTTTTTAATGGCAACATTTAAGATATAGAACGCTATTTGCCTTACATCAACAATGCTTCTTATAAATAAGGCCTCCACGACTTCTCAGCCTTTAGTTAACTTGATCTTAAGATCAAGTGTGTAAGGTCTCTAGCACTATTCGTTTAAGCAGATTCCTCAGGATTTACTAGATAATAAAGCTGTTCAGAGCCCAAGTCACTTCAAATCCTAGCTCATTCACTTGATCCAGTTGCCACTTCATTAAATGAAACAAGGATGATATAAGGACTACACAAGGTACCACAGATTAGAGGCTAAGGGAAGCAAATGGAGCCCAGTGAGTACACAGTGAATGTTAGCTATCCTCATCTGAGGCCCGTACTTGGAAATAAAATGAATCTTGTCAATCACACTTCTTGGTAATTGGCAATCTCCTCTACTCAGTGGTTCTGAAGTACTGAGGGGCTTAGCACTTGGTCTACATCATGAAGCTAAGGGAAGATAATGCTGAGATAACAGCTAAACAATTTACTCCCTTGAGGCTGAAACAGCACAGCCTAGCAAAGCAAGCTTGGCCTTGCCAAGCCTCAGCCCAAGGCTCTGAATTAGTCAGAGACCACACTGAACACACACTTCCTTACCTCACACTTTCGGTCTGCTTCAGAGATGTTGATATTGCTCACATTCTGCTCGATGGTTTTGCAGGACTGCTTCTTCTTTGGCTTTGAAGCCTTTTTGGTTGTTCCCATTTCAGCAGTACTTCTGTCTAAAAGAAGGAATCAGACCTTACTGTGTGGACTGCTTAGAACACATGACTCAACTTATCAATTCAAGTTCTTCAAAACCCTCAAGAGTACACAGAGTTTAAACGTGAAATCCCTCAAAGCAACAGGTAAACTAATTTGCTGCTTATGGAGGAACTGAATTACTAGATAATACATTTATTTTCTTTTTTTTAATTTATTATTTTTATTTTATGTGTATGAGTGTATTGCCTGTATATGTGTAAGTGCACCCATGTTGTGCAATGCCCCAGGAGGTCAGAAAAAGGTGTCAGATCCCCTGGAACTGGAGTTATGGACATTTGTTATCCACCATGTGGGTGCTTGGACTCGAACCCAGGTCCTCTGCAAAAGCAGTCAATGCTTGTAATCACTGAGCCATCTCTCCAGTCCCACATTTGGTTTCTAATACAAATCCATTTCCAAAGACCACCAAACTAAAGTCCTTTAGTTGGTGATGTTTACTCAATCTTGCCTAAGTAAAATCACAAAGTTTTTATGTAGTCCTTTTCCTTTTTGAAGAATAACTAGAGCTGACAAAAGCATGTTCCTACAAGGAGAGCCAAAGGCCTGTAAAAAACAGTAAAACCATCCTAAGAAACACTGGCATGAGAAGGAGACACTGAGTCAGGTAGCTGCCTTGCATGCAGGAGGCCCTGAATTTAATTCCCAGTAAAAAAAAAAAAAAAAAAAACACCAAAAAAGATACACAATGACAAAATAATTATCATCCATCATGAATTATCTACAGAATCAAAAAAGCTAGATTTCCTTGTGATTTTCTCTTACAGAACCATAATCTGGAAATGTCTATGCCTTTAATAAAAAGACATGACTGCTTCTAGCCTTGGGCCTAGGCCTGCTCCTGTTCTCTTCCAGCCTCAGATCTCTGGACTAGCTTCCTAATCCAGACCCAGCCCACTGCATCCTGATCCCCTGTACCCAGACTAGCTACATTCTCCAGCATAAGTTTGTTGGACCCTTCACAGGCTGTTCCCACCCCTGCTTTGCCCTTGGCCTCCTGATCTGCTTGCCACAGACCTGCCTGCTACCCTGACAAGTACACTACTCATCAAAGAAGCTTCTTTTTGCAACACATGGAGACTATTACAGAGTTCCACAACTGGTCACACACAGAGAATATATGTCTACAAGTTGCCCAGCCCTAAGTGACATCTACAGTGGAACTTCTAAACCTAAGGTTCATGGAACATAGTAGAACAGGCAGTAGAGAGAATTCTAATAAATCCCTCAACTCTCACCAACAAAGCTTCCTCATACATCAGAGTGTGACGCAAACAACTGGCCAAGGAGTAGAGAATATGAGACTGTAGAATGTGTGTCCCTGGATAGGATTCCTTTATTAAACCTCACCCACCCATGGCTCAGTGACCATTGTGGAAGAGGAGAGTGGAAAGATTGTAAGAACCAGGGTTGGTACATGAACATAAGGAAACAGAGGCTTTCAGATCTCTGGGAACTTGCTCATATGAACTTGCAGTGATGGTGACAGCATGCACAAGACCCATGATGACTCAATCAAACAAAAACCCAGCATAGAACTGGGGAAATGGGCAGCAGGCCCCAACCTTAGCTGAGGAACTATTGGCAACCGATTATTGTGAGGTTAGGAAGAGGGAGAGTGTATATATATATTTTTATGTGTATGAGTGTTATGCCTGCATGTAGGTAAGTGCACCCATGTTGTGCAAGGCCTGCAGAGGATAGAAGAGGTTGGGGATCCCTTGGAAATGGAATTACAGTCGTTAGCTACCATGTGGGTGCGGGGAATCGAACCCGGGTCTTCTGCAAGAACAGTCAGTGTTCTTAATCTCTGAGCCATCTCTCTAGCCCCAAGAGAGTATATATTCTTTAAGGGAGTGACTCTAGATAGGCTGACTAGACTCCAGGGGATGAACTTGCACCGAGGGACATCTGGGTACAAATGCTTGATAGGTCTTAACGTATATTACAGAATGCATGAAATCTGGTGTGTGTGGGGTGGGGTGGGGAGGCTATGGAGAGGTGCAGATGAGGGAAGCGTTCTAAATTTGATTAAGATCTATTATATGAAATGCATAAAAACAATAAAAATATACATAAAAAAGACATGACTGATTTCTTGTGCCTGATATGTCACTCAAATACCAGTACACCCTAGAAGCAACTCCTTACATCCAGTCCCAACCTGCGTACCTGCACCATGATTCTCCTCCTCTTCTTGAGATGGTGTGTCTTTGCCCAGCCCCCCAAGGACTCTGTAAACATCAGCGTGGACAGCATCCACACGCACTGCATAGATCTTGGTGCTTGCATCCAGGGTGCCCGCAGCCACCTAATCCAACAAGCAGAGCTGTATTCACGAAGATGCAGGGAAAAGCACTTCTGAGCAGGTAAAACCCAGCAAGATCTGTAAAATATTTACTTGACCCAAGGAAAAAAAATGACAGATGATCAAAGATTGATGGGAGATAAGAACATCTGTCTGTTCGCTCTGCATTTTATCATTTGAGGAAAGAAAGTAAAGAAGCTACTTTAGTATCTTACCAGGAAGGTCTTGGGCATTTGCAGAATTTAAATATGTCATGCTAAGCATTAGAAACAATCACTAACTCAGGTGTAAGGGAGGTGTACATGCTTCTTACTTTAAAGTTGGTTGGTTCTGTGTCCTTCTGTTTAAGAATCTCTGACATAAAGTCAATTAGGTGTAAGCCAAAAGCATTCTTGGTAGTAATTTTCTAGAAGAAAAGATCACAGAAAGGTTTATTACTCATAGACTAAGCTCATAAGCTCATGTAAATAATACCACTGAACAGAGGAAGCTAAGTTTTTTCACAGAAATACCCATGTCTCTCCAGAGCTCAGTTCCCACAAGCACTTGGCATAAAACCAAATAAACATGTATTACCTCCTCCCCTCAAGGCCTGAAAAGAGAGAACACAGAATTCGTGAGCGCTCACCGTGTGCAGGCCTTGCTCACTGAACCATGTACCCATGATCTCAGACATGCTCACAAGAACCCTATGAAGCAGGTACCTCCATCCTTGCTCTCACTTTAGCAGGGAAACCTGTAGCACAGGTGTCAGTGACTGTCACAGTCACCAGCTTATAAGTAGGAGAGAGAGGGCTCCAATTCAGGCTGACTCCAGAACTATCTACTCCCAAACTCACACTATTTGCCCAGAGGCTGTGGTGCCTAGATGTTCTGCAGAGAGGAGGCCACTTGTAGGAGCAGTACCAAAGCTCCACCAGAAACAGTGAGGCCACACTGAGAAATACCAGTAGGAGGCAGAAAATGCTCATAACCCCTACCCAGAATCGAGAAAGCCCAATCTCACTGTGATCAAGTTGAAAAAGGATAGCTGGGCATGCTGGTGTACATTTGAAATTCCAGCACTTGGGAAGCGAGGCATGAAGATCATAAGTTTGAGGCCAGTCTGGGTGAAGTAGCAAGCTCCTGCCTAAGCAAATAAATATAAACCAGCAAATACTTACATTTTCAGTAGAGAGCTTGATACAAGTGGAGTAATGTTCTGTAATCTGTGTGTTTGTAAACTTAGATACGGTAGTTGAAACATCAATGCTCCTAAGTGGAAAACAAAACACTGACAAGGATCCTCAATACAGTCACTTCAAAACCCAAACCTAGAATCGCTGAAGTACCATGGAGATACCATGGCCACCCCCCAAGAGAACCAATCCAGAATGTGCTTACCTGTTGGAAGGGGAGGCTAGCAGATGAGTCGCATCCGTGTTAAACTGTAGGTCTAAGACCCTGGAGCGCCTCCGCTGCAGGCGCTCCTTTTCATCGTCATTCTGAGGGAAGTCTTCAAGGACTGGGGTGCCAGGAGTACTGAGTGAGGCCTTCTTGGATGGGGGCATTGGGAGCATCCGTTCCGAAGGTGAGGAGACACTGTGGTGGTGCCCACGGATCTCTGAAGAGTTGATCATTTTGGCTAGCAGTGATAGAATAAAACACTTGCTCAAGAAATCTTCAACACCTAAAGGGGGCTTGGGCCTGTCATGGGACTCTATGCACATTCCCTCGTAAGATGTCCAACGCTAACACATGATGCTAGCCCCTCTACAGTTTAGGTTTCTTAAGTGGAGAAAGGAGAAAGGTAATGGACAAACATCTACTTGGCAGCTACAGCTACTGTGAATCCATGTACAACACAAGATATATAGATGGGTGAGGTAGGACTTGGGATGTAGCATGTGGTAGAGTACTTGTTTAGCATGCTCAAGGCTCTGGGTTCCATCCCCAGCACTGCCAGAGATTGAGAGATGGAAGAGACAAAGCTGTGGCCTCTGATAAGCTCACAAACTAAGAAGAGGACAGACACCCACCTATGAGGTCAGGCCAGGGAGATACAGGTGCTGAGCAAGGATGAGGTATGGGCTACAGTCACACAGGCTGGGCTCTAATCTCAGCTCCTCCATGTCCAAGAATAAACATCAGAAACGTAAAATAAACAATGTTCCCAAAGACTGCCCAGAGATTACATGAAACTGCAAAAGTTTTTGATGGTTAAAGATCTAGCAGTAATCCTATTAACCAAGCAACCAAACATAGCCTCACTAAAAATGATGTGACTCTATATGAAATTTTTAGCATCACCTAGGAAATACTTTTGTCAGAGATACTTAATCTAAATTTGATCAAAACTTTAGATCTAACTTCCACTTTGTAAGAAATACAAGGGTCCAAGAATACATTAAACAATACAAATAAATATCTAGATAAATCTAGAATGGGAAGAATTTCCAAGACAGCTGGCTCACACCTACAATCGTAGCATTTGGATGGCCAAGGCAGGAGGACTGCCAGAGTTCACATCTAGCCTGGGCTGCATGGTGAGATATATCCTAAAAAAAAAAAAAATAATATCATTGAAGATAAGAACACTGGTAAAAGCAGTAGCTCCTAATGAAGCCTTGCCTAAAATAGCCCAGTTAATGACTGGCAAGGCATGAACTAAAATACATAGCTTCAAAAAGAAGTTTTATTTTTATTTATGTATGTATATGGAGGTGGGTCTGTGCATGTGAGTGGAAGTGCCTGCAGAGGCCACAGGCATCAGATCTCCTGGAGCTGGAGTTACAGGTAGTTGTAAGCTGCCCAACATAGGTACTGGAAATTGAACTCAGTTCTCTGCAAGAGCAGTATGTGCTCTTAACTACCAAGCCATCTCTGCAGCCCTTAAAATACATAGCTTTTGATTTAAAGTATAGTGGTACTTTCCATGATACCACAGCCATTTCTACTAACATCTCTACTGAGTGTTTGTTAGAGGAAAAACCCCAGAAGCTCAGAAGTCATTGGGAGTAGCAATGCAGACAAGCAGTAATGGAACATGAACCAAGGCAGTGCTGTTGCTACTTAGCAAACAAGGGCTGGGCCTTGTAGCATATTCCTGCAATGCCAGAGGCAGGAGGATCACTCAAGTTCCAGGCCAGTCTGTGGTTGATGTAGCAAGTTCTAGGCAAGCCAGAGATACACAGTGGGACTATGACTCAAAACAACAAGAACAAAAATAAAATAACCTAAACAACAATTTAAAAAAGCAAAAAAGGTATCAAAAAAGGAGGATTAACTATGAACAACATCTTGAGGATAACTGTGGATATTTGGAATAAAGTCTAGACATCAGTCTGGGAGACCAATTTTTATGATCTTAAGTACCAGTGACATTATGATTTAGAAGAAGGTCATTAATCACTTTTAGGAGATGAATGAGAAACAATTCAGGGTGAAGGGATTTGAAGAGTGCCACTTTCATCAAAAGTAAAGATGGTCAAATGTTAGCAATTGCTGGATCCAGGTGGTAGGTACAGGGCATCTCCTGTCTCGGTCTTTCAAGTTTCCTGTATTTTTGAACATCTTCACAGCAAGTTGGAAAACAAATGACATGTGTGATGGGAATAATTTTCTAGGGGAAAGTAAAGCAGGGAGAAGAGTGAAGAGGGGATGTGAGAGGTCACTGTAAGCACAGTGGTCAGGCATGGTTTCCCCAGTGAGGCAACATCAGAATCAAGGCCATGCAGATACTTTGGGAAGACCACACAGAAGCTGAGGAACAGTACACACAAAGGTGGGAACATGCAGGCACCTTTGAGTGCCCAGCACCTCAGAATGCAAAGTAGTCTTTTGCATTCAGCAAAACAGCATGGCCCTCCAGAAGTAAAGAGATGTCAGGCTCTCTAAGACCAGGGAGGCAAAGAACAGTCACTAGTCATGAGAAAAGGACTGGTAGTCGCACAAGAGCCTCACAGTAAGCTACTGTAATGACTTTTTTTTACTTTGAACAGACTGGGTGAGTTGGCTTCAAACTTGCTAGGTGGCTGAGACTTCTGATCTTGTCTCTACCTACTGTGTCAGAACACATTACAGGAATGCACCACTGTGCTTGGGTTATGTGCAGTGCTATGGATCAAATCCAGGGTTTCATCCATGCTAGCCAAGCGTTCTACCCCAAGCTGCATCCCCAACACCAACTCTGTGTCTTAAAATCAATGAGAAGGGACATGACTGGATGATGATAAAAAGAACAAAATGATCTAACCTAATCTTCAGGAGGCAAGAGGACCCCTCTAGCTGTCGTGCAGAAAGCAGGTAAGAATGGCGAAGCAGAAGACCAGTGAGAGGGATCTGCCAATAACTAGAACAGAAGATGATACCGAATCAGACCAGAAAGATGGTAGTGCAAGAGGTGAAATGTGTCCAGATACTGGATAGGGTCCCCAGAAGAGCCAGCATGATTTCCTGATAGGTTAAATGTGGACATGAAGACTCAAGGAAAACTCCAAGGTTATCCTCAACAACTAACCAAGTTGCCAGAATCTGAGAAAGGAAGCTGAAGACGCTGCTTGTAGGCCAGGAAGGGTCCCAGCTTTAGGCTCATGATGTTTCCTAGCCATGCAACTGCACTAGAGAGCGGGATATCGAATCCTAGAATTCAGGCGGAAGTTTCAGGCTAGATAAACTTGGGAGCCACAGAGTATTGACAGCCATTCAACACTGGATAAACTTACTGAGTGAACAGAGAGGAGACCTGAAGTCTGAGATAGGTCCCAGAACACTTTGAAAACCAAACCAAACCAGAAAAGAAAACACAACCAGCAAAAGAGATGGAGAAGGTACAACTAGTAAGGTGGGAAGAAAACCAGGCAAGCAGTCTCTCCCAGCTGAGCCTCACCCCCAGTATCTCACCTTCTCTTTTCACTGTTTTAGTTTCATTATAAAATAGAAAGCAAGTAAACACTCAGCAGCTAGGGGGAATATAGGGGAGAAGGTATGGAGATTTAAGGAAATGGGGTGAAATGTTATCTAGAAGCAGGAGAGTGAATGAACCAGGAAATATGGCCTAACTGCTGGGCAGCTTAGGGGCCCCCTGAGATCAGTCAGCTTCCCTGTACGCTCTTCTCTAGTCACCATTAAGCATGCAGAGCAGGCAGTGTTAAAACTGACCAGGCCTGTGGGTTCTGTCAAGCACCTATAAGGAAGTGTGGGGAGAATACAGGGGAAGGTGCGATTGTATTGACTGACCATAGACACGAGAAGTAGTAGAATATAGGTCTGGGGAAACAAAAGCCTCAAGTCAGGGAATAAGAGGAAATGAGCTAGACACATAGAATGAGAAGTGGCAGTTCAAAAACGAGGTGACAGCACGGTGAAGCTACTGATAATGACAATGTGACCACGACCTATGATTACTGGGCAAGAAATAAGAACCCTGGAAGAAGATGAAAGAACTCAGAATTTTCCAGAGAGGTGGGGAAGTATCCAAATTTAAGAATCAGAAATTCTTGCTTTAAATTCCACTCTACCACCTACTAGCTAACAAAACTTTAAACAAGTAAATGCTCTATGCATCTGTTTCACCATCACCCTTAACTGAAGTAAGAATATACACCTGGCTGCAGGTGTAGCTCAGTGGTAGAGCACTCTCCTAGCATGCAGGAGGCGGCTCTGGGGTTTGGTCTTCAGTGGGTAGGTGGGGGGGTGTATATATGATATGATATGATATGATATGATATAAACCTTAGCTGTTTCAGAACAGGTGATACAATATATCTGCTTATATGCACAATATAACCTATTTCACAGGAACACATTGAAAAAAAAAAGGCAGCTGGGGATACAGCACAATGACTGCTAGCCTAGCATTCACAGGGTCCTGTGCTCCCTCCCTAACATCTAAAACAAGTGATTAAGAATAAAGAGATATAATAAGCACCCAATGGTTGTCCATGTAAGGGAGGGAGGCTAGAGATGGGGAGCAGGGATAAAAGAAAAATGTAAGAACTTCACATGCAGCTTCCCCACAGGTTGGTGATTATGATTAACATAATTCTGATCTGATATCAAAGCAAAAAAAATCTAAAGAGACTAGAGACGTTTAAGGGGTAAAAATTAAGAGGACTTGTGACTGAACGTGGGTAAGGAAGGGAATTGGGCCTTCTGAGAACAGACTTTAAGGGAAACAGGAAGCACCCAAGTAGGAACTTAAGAGTTACACTTTAATTCTTTAAATCTTTCCCTGATTTCTCTCTGCCTTGGAGAATATGTGTCTATACTAATTCAACAGATGGTTACTGAACTCAAAAGTGCTTCCCTGTATCTCTTCCTCATCCTCCACTCATTTTTCAGTCCCTCTGGTCTAGCGCTCATCTCTGCCTCTTCATGAAAAGTGTTTTCATAATCACAAACTCTCTTTTGAAATTCAGAAGCATTACAAACAACAAATGATCCTTTCCTTCCTGAAACAAACCTTTACTCTTTTCAGTTTTGGGGGTGCCCTGCTTTCATCCTCTAAATGCTGGTCCTGGGGCACTCTCAGAAAGACTCTCCCCTGTTCCCATGGTTTTATGAGCTGTATGATGGGGAAGTACAAATTTGCTTCTCACTCTGAGCCTCTGACTAAACTCATCCAGTTGACTATGGACCTCCACCTGAGCATCTCTCCAGTAAGTCACCCTTAACACATCCAAAATGTAACTCAATTTCCAAGCCCATCTCACTAAGCCTAGTTACCATGTTCTAATTAGTTCCCAGCCCAGTCCAGGCTTCTCCCAGATTCTTCCGTTTTTATACAAGCTGCTCTACCTGGAACATGCTTCCCAGTTTCAGCCTACAAATCTCGAGTACATAAGTAAAAGAGCCTCCTCTCTGCAAGTTTCAATCACAGCACCAGACCTCATCTCTATTTTCTATATTGTCTGTTCCCTCAAAGACAATACAAGCTCCAAGACGGATTTTATCTATTTTGTTCATTTTTTTTCTTTGACAGTGGGTTTCATATAACACAGACTGGCCTCGAACTCACTATAGCTGGGGATAACCCTGACCTTCTGATCCTCCTGTCTCACCTCCAAGTGCTAGGACTACAGGCGTGCTCCTGTACTTGTTTTGTTCTTGATCTCTGCACCTGACAAAGGGTCTACCCCAGAGGGAGCACTCAATAGTTTGGAATCAGTGCAAAAAGAAATGCACGTACTCTCAACAACACAGACCAGTCACCACACGCTTCTACAGTCCCCAAATTAACCGCATGTACATCAGAAAAACCAACATGGTAATGGGAAGAAACTGGGTAGCAGCACCCCGGAGGCTCGCAGGAGGCGCGCGCATCTGCGCCGTGATTGGCCGAGCGCGCCCTACCCGCCCCGGCTTCCCTTCCCCACTCCACAGCCCTCGGCCCACCGACCGGAGGGCCGAGCTTGTTTGCCTTTCCCGCTCAGGCCCGCCGGCCCGCCCGCCCGAGCACCACTCCGTGCGGGCCCTTGCCCGCCGTGCCTCCCACCCGCCGGCCCGCCCGCCTCACCTGGACCCGGAGGTCTCATCTTGCTCACGGCGTCTGACGAGTAGGATTTAAATCGCGCGCGCCGACCTCTGGAGCGCGGCAACGGCCGCGTGACGTCATCTGAGGGCGGGGCCTGCCGCGCGCCTGCGCAGACTGCCTCCGTCGCTGTAGTGACCCGGCGGCTGCAGGCAGACGCGTTGACTAGGGCATGAGAAGGCTCTGTTTTCGTGGAATTTATTTTTTAATGGAGAGGCAGACTTCTGAGGAAACGAGGTTCATTGCCTCCTTAAGTGGGAGTTCCAGGCAAGGGACGAAGGGATGCAAAGCATTGTGTATGTCTATGTACACACACATACACACACACACGTGCGTTAGTTGTGTAGCTCAGTAATAGGATGGACGCATGCTTATCATGGACAGGCCCCGAATTCAATCCCCAGCACCAAAGTGAAGAAAAGTTGGGAAAATGTGCATAGTAGTGCTGCCTGGTTACTCAGCGCCATCTCAAGATCCTTGCAAGGGTGGAAAGGCTGTGGGGATTCTCCAAATATCACTCCCATTCTGTAGTTTCCTGTAGCTCATGATTCTAGCATCTTTAATAACGTGTTTCTGTTCGAGGATGCTATTGATATTCAGTGTCAGCAGTTCATGACATGGGAGACTCTTCTTTTGTAGAACTGTTTAGCATCTATTTGCCTTTGCCTACTAAATGTCATCTGTGTCCCTCATTTGAGCAACCAAAAGTCCTGCCCTTGGTTGAAAACCACTTTTTAAAGCTACTTGATTTCTGCATGAAATTGTTCTCCCAGTGACCACTTTAGAGTAAGACAGAGTGGGACTTTGGAAAGAAAATGCTTAGCATCCAGGACTGTATGCTCTGCCTGCTGCCCCAGCCCCCATCCACTGCTGAGCTTTTTGCCTCTGAATCTCTTTCAGTGCGGGCCTCCTTTTCATCCACATGACCTTACTCTGCTCTGACCCCTAACTCGAGTCCACTTGTCTACCACCACTTCCTCCCAGAAGTCTAAAACCCCCTTCAAAGGTTCCATTGTTCTGGGAGCTTCTAAAGAGGCCTCTAATGGCCTGCAGGCTTTGGCCCCTGTTAGGCTTTCTTACCTCATCCTGATCTCGCCTTCCATTTCTCCCTGTCCTCCATCCACTGAGCCCTCTTTCAAACTTGCCTTCATCCTAACTGTTCCTACCACAGCACTTCTGCACATGAGCTCTCCACCTAGGATTTTCTTCATTCTCATCTTCCTCCAATTAGCTCCAGTCAAGTTTTGGCTCCTGACATTTCCCCAAGGAGGCCTTTCCTGGTACACTGAAGACACCTTATTGGAGGCTTCCATGTTTGCACTAAGAGCAAGGGTTGGGAGGAGTAACAGGTAGCACTGAATTGAAAGACTCCCTGAAGAACTGGCTTGGCACCTCTGGCAGGGGAAAGATGCTAGGTGATCAACCGAGGTCAACTTGAAGCTGTTTGGGGACAATAGTGAGTCTTCTAAGCTGACTGTTTGGAAATCCTCCCTGCCGGGAGGCAGAGCCAACTGCATTCCTGGTGTCTGTGGGCCTAACATGCCTACTGCAGGCAGGTCTTTCACATCCTGCTCTGAATGAGATCTTTGTTTTGGAGTTAGGGCTACTGAGGGTGCCAAAAGATTGAGTGATTTATCAATGGTATCAGAGGCATGTGAAACTTAATTCCTCTGTACAAAAGCGAAGTGGTCAGCCCCTCCCCCATGGGCTAGGCTGCCAGAAGAGCTGCAGGAGTCACTCCTCTCCCTAGTGTCCCCCTCCCCCAGATTCTACTTCCCCAAAACACAGGGCAAACAGCCTTGGTTTAGATGAGGAACCATAGTTATCTACTAGCTACCTGAACCAGCAAACCTTTGGCTACAAATCTGTTGGTCTTCCAGCCTACAGCTGGCTTTTATCATAACATAGTTTCTGTTTTAAATCACCCAAGTCACTGAGAGCAAAAGGGCAAGCAGTTGAAAAGGCTTTACATTCATTTTGGCCTCTGAGCAAATGCTTTCAATTTTTGTATGCAATATGAAATTCCTGTGATCTCCTAAATCCTCGGCTGAAAACCAACAATTTCCATCTTCTATAATTTTCAAACAATAACATACTACCCTGGATCTTAAAACTAATGTTTTTTGCTTTGAAAAGCACTTGGACCCATATATACCTTGCTTCATTCCAAAGCCCATGGGTTGCTACAGTAGGTACTTTATTCCAGACACAGTCACTTACTAGGTATGTGACCATAAGAAAGTTGCATACCTTTCTGTACCTCAGTTTCTTCATATGTAAAATAGACTTGAGAGACTACTTGGTGGAGTTGTAATATGAGGATTAAGTGAATTCCTGGATGAAAAGCATTGTCAGTGTTCAGTGAAGACTATTCTATTACTAGAATTACTGTTGCAGCCTAAGAGCTCACTAGGTTTTGTTTCAGAATAAAGTTTAGCTTCCTATCTGGAGAAGTTTCTCATTTAATTGTTGAGAGGTTGAGAGTATTCCCAGAACACTACACGCCTGTTCTTTCCATTACAACCCTCCCCCCACCCTGTACTTTCTTGTACCTTCTGCCCCACCCAAGCTTTGCTGACTATTCCTTTGTAGTCTTCTGCCCACTCATAATTTCATGTTTCCTTGTCTATGAGATTACGAACAACCATACAGACATAGTAATCATACCACCTTTCTACCTGATCAGACTTCTAGAGCTATGCATGTTGTTTTTAGTCACTAAGACCTTTTAATTTAGTTGAAATCTGGGTTTGGGTACCTTGGAAATCCATAATCTAGATGTTCCTTAACTTTTTGAGTTATTCTTTCCTGGCTACTTTCCATGCCACTGAAAACCACAGGGCAGACTGGTTTGAGGTGCATTGAGAAACACCTGAGTGTACTAGCTAGTCAGGAAAACAGGGGAAAGACATGTGAGAAGGCTGTTCTGTGTTACAGGTTACTGAACAGGTCCTACTTCATACAAAAAAGACTCCATTTTTATTGGAGTTAAGATATTATGGCCAGGAGTGGTGGCGCACGCCTTTAATTCCAGCACTTGGGAGGCAGAGGCAGGAGGATTTCTGTGAGTTTGAGGCCAGCCTGGTCTCCATGGTGAATCCAGGACAGCTGGGGCTACAGGGAGACCCTGTCTCAAAAAGGCCAAAAAAAAAGATATCAGCAGATAATTTTCTGAAAAAGTATATGGACATTATGCCGGGCATGGTGGCACACACCTTTAATCCCAGCACTCAGGAGGCAGAGGCAGGCAGATCTCTTTGAGTTCAAGGCCAGCCTGGTCTACATAGTGAGTTCCAGGACAGCTGGGGTTACAGAGAGACTCTGTCTCAAAAAGATAAAAAAAAAGTATATGGATATTTTAAAATCAGAAATCTCACCAGCATAGAACCAACAATCACTGCATCTTGAAAACAATACTGACAGATGCCAGCAAGTAGCAAGGAAGCCTAATAGCTGCTGTATTAGCAAAAGTCCTAAATATTGCCTGGCATCTGCTTCTCGACTGCTTTTATTTTTGTTGGGGGAGGTAGTGGGTTCCCCAACAGAAGCCCCAATGGCTAGCATCTGATCCCCCACCCCATCGTGATCCCCCACCTGCCAAGATCATATCAAATTTAAGGCTACGTTCTCCTTCCTGGCAGATCTTCCTGGTAGTGTTGGATAAGGAACAGCATTGGTATTTCCAAAACAACCACGCCCGTAACTATTTCTTAATACTCCTCCTCAGGATGCTCAAGGTTTTGAAACAAGGGAAAAATACACCAATCATATCTCTAGCATCAGGACTCCGTTAGAGTTGAACTGCTTCACAGTCCTTCCTGTCCAGCCCTGGCAATGGGCCTGAATTGTGATGTCCCCTCTTTTCCAAGCTGCAAACAAACTTCAAGTAATCTCTTTGTCATCTTTGAAGAGAATACAAAGTCATCACCAAAAGAATGCACAGCTACACATGGCAGTTAAAGCTTTCCATTTAACGAATAAGCAGCTCTCCCTCAGAAGCAAACTGTTCACCTCAAAGCTCTTGGAAAGATTATCCGCATGAAGAGCTTTATGATATTGCTTCCAGGTACTAGAAAGGTCATCAGATGGTGGTTATTTCATTAAGTATAGGAAATATGTTATCTCAATTATGGGACAGGTCACCAATAATATTTGTGAATAAAAGCTAACAGTTAGATAGTTCTGGGGGTTTTCTGAGATAATATAAGAAGGGCTATAATGTCTTATGAGAGCAGTACTAATTAAGAAAAAAACATTTTGTTATAGCTTCAAAAGAGTGAAGGTATGAAAAATTAGGTCCTTAAGTATGAAACATGACTGTCACTGTTTAGAATAAAGGTTCGCATCAATCTGGATGGGGATTAAGCAGACAGTACAATAAGAAAACCAGTTCATAAGGAACATGGTGGGAGTGTTTCAGAAAAAGAAGCTAGGAGGTATTCTCTGGTTTTCTTTTGCTTCCAGTGTTGATACAGAAATACAACAGGATCTCAACTCCTCAGCAGCAAGATCCTCCTATAACATCCGTCTCCATGTACTTTGGGTCATGCCTAAATTCAGAAGAAAACCTCAGCCACCCACCTAAACTAGGCTCCACAGGCTGCAGCCTTCCTCATGTGTTTCTTAGAGTGTTTTATTCTGTCGTGGTCCCCTCTGACAAGGTGAAGTTCACATATACTGATGATTATGTGAAAAGTAAACTCTTGCAGCCTGAGCAATCAGAAATACCTTCTCCCATTTTGGTTTTGTTTCGTTTTGTTTAATGGTCTTTGTATTAAGATGCTCCAGCCAATGGGGAATAAGGCAGAGTTTTCACCTGGGTCAGAAGGTTTTGGAATTCCTCCACTGCCTGTGAGTGTGCCACAGGATTTAGCACCAGGTGTTGGAAAAGATTGATAGGCTCAGCATCCCGAAATGTCTTAGGAATTGGAATGGTCAGGGGCAGGAAGGTGTTACCAATGAGGAAATGATGGAGAGATCTTTGCTGGAGGCCACGGCCCAAGAACCAGAGAAGGTCCTGGAGCCTCTGAGAAAGCATATTGTGGTGCCAGTCTGTTAGAGGCAGCCGTAGCAACAGGTGCATGAGGGCTGTCTTGAAGTGGTAGGAGGTGAGGATGGGACGAGATGCCCCAGGGGGTAAGGTCTGGTGGTCCTGGAGACTCAAAATGATCTGGAGGCATTTGAGGTGACAGGTGTTCTCAGGGGCAAAGCGCCCTACCAGCTTCAGGAACAAGTGTTCACAAGCTGCAAAGGACTCGGGCCAGTCCACGCTGGTGAGCTGCTCTAACTCAGGGGCCTGACTCACCAGGTAGACCAAAGTATCTTCCCGCTGCACCCCTAGAACCAAGCTGATTGACAAAAAGCGGCCTGAGCGGTAATCCAGCCTGAGGGTACAGGAGGTGGTAGATGGTGGCAGACTGAGCTTAAAGTCATACTTGTGGGCCACCAGGGCCCAGGCATTGCCCACCATGTTCCGAAACCACTGCACAGTCTTACACACATCCAGGTGCAAGCCGGTGCAGAGAGCTGCCTTGATAGAGCTGGTGCACTTGCCCACGAGGGCCAAGTGGTCCCTGTGGTTGTGCACCAGGCACAGCACATCACCCAGAAGCTTCTCATGTTTGCACATGCATTCAGAGTCCACCCGCACACAGCCACAGCGGTGGCCCAGGGCTGGATCCCTCATCTCCAAGATAAACATAGTGCCCTGTGGAGGAACAATGGGCACCAGGACATCAAATTTCTGAGTCTCATGGAGGGTCCCCCACTTCTCAAAGGCAGCCCCGAGCCCCAGGCAGTCCTCTAGCTGTGGGTGAGCCTCCCGGCGGCTGAGCACCCGACAGGCCTCAATGAGATCATCCACAAAGCTCTCCACGAACTCACAGGTACAGGGCAGGTCACGGATGGCATTTTGGATATAATGCTTGTAAAAGGATTCCAGGGCCTCCTGGGAAGGGAAGTCAGTGAGCCAGTTGTGAGAGCTGACAGGCACAACACGGACTTCTTCCTCTTCCTCATCACTGCTGGAGTCAAAGGCTGGCTCATGCTGCATATTCTGTCGCAGGAGCTCAAAGATGAGAAAAAGGCAAAAGAGGCCAGCATTCCACAGGTTTCCCAGCATCCAGCCCAGAGGGCCCCCGTCTTGGTTACTGGCATGGAATGGCCACCCCATGTCTTTCTCTCCCAACACTAATTGGTCACTGGATGTGTCTCCTCTCCAGAAGTTCTCTGCCTTCTGCTTCTGTTCTGCTGCTCGCCTCCTCTCTTCAAACTCTATCTCTAACTGCCGCATCTCCTCACTCAGTCGCTTCTCCAGCTGCCGACTCCTGGCTAGTGTTTCCAGGTCCATCCGGTCACTGACCATCAGGGGGTGGTGAACAACATACATCACTGCCAAGAATAGCAGGCTTATCACAGCCATGGAGGCCTCTGCATCTGGAAAAGTAGGAGGGTGGGAGTCAGTGGTGATTTTTCTGGCTGCATTTGTTCTCCAGCACATATTCCCCAGAGCCCTGGTACCCCAAATCTTTGATGTCAACTACTCAGGAGGAACAGAAAGCTCACAGATCTGGGCTTGGACAGAGCAAGGGGTAGTCTGCCTGGGGAACGTTTTGGGAAGGGAAAGGGGGAGAAGCAGAATCTGTCCCTGAGCCAACTGTTTTCCTTCCACATGCTGTGGGTGAGATTTAGGCTGTCTGAGTGTGGACATGAGACTTTTATTACAGTGTAAGATGGGGAAGGGGACCCTTGCAGTGGGGTGGCCTCACCTGACTCATCAGTCCACTTTGGGCACCAGATATGCCCTGCCAGTCCCAGAGGCTCCCTTCCACAGGCAGAAAACAGAAAACAGGCAGAGTTCGCCAGGGTAATACCTTTCCCATCTTGGGTAGCCAGCCCTAGGCCCAACAGCAGCATCCTCCTTCCTCTGTGACTTCACAACCCTCACCCTGGGTCACTAGACCACTCAACCTCACCCCTCTGCTCAGTGTATGCCAGACAGGCACACTGCTGCCAGCTCTTTGGTGGTGTGCCCGCTTGAGGTCCTGGGAGGCTGGGAGTGATCAAGGGTCCAGCTGCACTTCTCAGCCCAGGAAACTGCCTGCAGAGCTGTATGGCCAAGGCCCAACTGACGGCCAGAAGTGGGGGTTCCTCAGTATCCTCACCCACCACTGAAGTCTGAAGCCTCGGACCTTCACCCCAGTAATTCACCAGCTACTGGGCTCCCCGAGTCACGCAGGACTGTGCCCCGTGGACAATGAAGCCGGGTGAGAGGTTCACCTCGCTTTGGAACTTGGTCTTGTTTTAGCCCAACTGCCCTCTCCAGAAGCCCTGTTAAAATTTACCAGTACGTAGGGCTTTGACTCAAAGTGAAGGCTCCCCTACCATTAATAACTTCCCCCAAATTCCACACCCATACAACTGTATTCTCAACCCATCTATCCTGGTCCAAGCTTCAGGGTTTCTCCTCGAGACCTAAGGCCGGGTAACTCACCATCAGTGTCAGCAGGAACGTGGTTTTAAAGAGACAGTGTGTCCTGGCCGCCCCTGCCCTCTTCCTGGCGAGCAGGGAGATCCCAGGTCATTCCCGGGACCACTGGTCCCGACGCCCTCTCGATAGGTACAGACCATGTTTGTCCGGTGGTCTACAAGCCTGCGGGCGGTGGTTCCCGCGACTCCCTACCACGCGGTGCGGGGGGGGGGGGGGGGGGGGGGGGGGGGGCCAACCCCCGAGGGGGGGGCCCCCGGGGGGGGCGCGGGGCCCCTGCCCCCCCCCCCCCCCCCCCCCGGGGGGGGGGGGGGGGGGGGGGGGCGGTGCAGAGGACTCCGGCCTGCCGCCGAGGCTCCCGCCTTCGGGGTTCGGCCCCGCCTCGCTCCCGCCCAGGCAAGCTCCTCCCCTGCTCAAACCCCGAAGGCCGGGTCCTGGGCGGAGGCTCAGCGGAGCTTGGGGCCCTCGTGTTCGCAAAGCGCCCTTTGTCCGCAGCCCGGCTCTCGGGGAACTTTAAGTCTCCAGCTGTGGCTAGCACTCAGCCGCTCTACTTTGTTGGTCCGCGCAAGGGAGCACCGCAGTGTCAGCTGTCATCCTCACCAATTCTTGGAGAATGTATGCTTACTGAGAATTTAGGTGTCAGGATGATGGAGACAAAACCAGGAATTGACTGAGGAAAGTTATTCTTCCCTCTGTCTTTGAACAAAGTGGAAAAGGAGATGAGGTGTGTTTCAGCACCCTAAATAGATCGCATTCAGTGGGAAAATGATTCCGTGGGCAGAAACTTGCTATACAGGTATAGAGACTTGAGCTTGGATCCCCAGCTCCCATGTAAAAACCCAGGCCTGGCAGCACACACCTCTAACCCCAAAGTTGAAGAGGCACATCCCCTGACCGACTGGCCAGTGGGTGGAGCCAATCGGGAGCACTAGCTTTAGTGAGAGATCCTGTCTCAAAAAATAAGGTAGAGCCGGTGTAGTAGTGCATGCCTTTAATCCCAGAAGCAGGCTGAACTCTGGTAGTGAGTTCCAGGCCAGCCAGGGCTGCAACCTGTCTCACCCAATAAATAAGTAAACAAATAAATAGATAAATAAATAAATAAGATAGAGATCCACAAACTACACCCCAGAATTATGGCGCTTGGTGGTGTTTTATAGTTTGTGTTTTAATTCATGGCCAAGATTAAATATTTTCTATAATCAGACACCAAGTGGCTTTTGGAAATTATCTTTTGTTGCAGATTTGATACTTGTTTGTTTGAAACTGTGTAGCCTTGATTGTCCTGGATCTCTCTATGTAGAGTAAACTGTCCTTAAACTTCTGCTAATCTTCCTGCCTCGTCCCGAGTGCCAGGATTTCAGGTGTGCACCACCATGCCTTCCCAGATTTGGTACAAGGCAAACTGATGCATATATGTAAATTCATGCCATGGTGAACATTTCAAACACTGACCCGTAAGTAACATCAAGCTGCTTAATACACTTCTCATGTCAAAAGCAAAACAAGAAGACTGCCGTTCCTACATAAATTTGCAGCAGATGTGTTTTCTGAGCTCAAAATACAGTTCCAACAGAGCATAAAAAACATCCTTAAAGTAAAAAGAATGGCTCCCTATTTCAAATTTTATTTAGCTTTGCAATCATGGAGATTCCATTTGAACTTCAATTAGAAATACTTACTTTGGCCTCTAATCCCAGCACTTGGGAGACAGAGGCAGGAGGATTTCTGTGAGTTCAAGGCCAGCCTGGTCTATATAGTGAGTTCCAGACTAGTTGGGGGCTAAAGGGGAAACCTGCCTCAAAAAAAACAAAAAAAAAAAAAAGAAATAATTAATCTGCAATATAATGACATATTAAAAAAATAAGAGTGGTGGTGCATGCCTTTAATCCCAGCACTTGGGAGTTCTAGGCCAGGTGGGGTTACAGGGAGACTCTCTCAAAAAAACCAAAAAAAGCCAATATAAAAATGTAATTCTATAAATAATTTTCAATTGGGGAATCTGCTCAATTGAAATTATATGTTTGAGGATTAATATCAGTTTGGGCAGAACTTATTTTTATGGAAGACACTTCCATCAATTTAGATGATAGGAATGAGAGGAAGTTACCAGAAATAAACCACACCTGTACTGAAGATTCTAAAATGCTAAGTGACCCACTTGAACTTCATATTTGCAGAGAGTTAGAATGTTAAAGATCCAGAGCCAAATTATTTTGGGCTATTTTTAAGTCTCGTTGAAACACATTCATTTTCTGCTCCTGTATCTGATGTAGTCTTAGCAGACCACTAGCTTTAACCAATGGAAAAGCTAAGAATAATATCTCAGGGCCTGGAGAGATGGCTCAGTGGTTAAGAGCACTGGCTGCTCTTGCAGAAGACATGGGTTTGAATTCCAACACCCACATTGCAGCTAACAACCATTTGTAGCTCTAGTTCCAGGGGATCCAGTGCCTTCTTCTCTTCTCCAAGGGCACTGCATGACATGGGTACACTTACATACATGCAGGTATTACATTCATACACATAAAAAAATAATAATTTTTACAAGGACTGTTATCTCATAGCATCTGCAACATGTAGCAGAGCTTTCTCAACTTTTCTATAGCCTGCTTACCTGTGGTCTCCATCAAGGTATTGGGTAAGTGTTTTGAGGCATGAATTTCTTTTTTCTGTAACTAATACAATCCCACAAAACTGCTTGGGTAGTGGAACATGGCTTTTAGGGCAACCTGAATCCATGTTTCTAGGCCATGGTCTCTCATATCTCAATAAAATACCTTATTCTCTTTGAGGTGAGAACATAGTGACAATTTTGGCACCTGAACATCAATCAGGTCCCAAGGAAGAACCAATTTCACCAGAAAGGTCATCCAGAGTAACACCAGGTACCAGCATGGAAACTTTTGTGCTCATTCATCTATGATGGCTCCTTGGTTGGATTTTGGATCTTGGTTGGATTTCTTTCTGGGGCTTGGACCCAGTTTAATTGAAGGCCCCATTAATTAAGCTGGCTGGATATTTTATTTTATTTTCAGACTGGTTGTTTGAACCCTTTTTTCTGAGCATTCTACTCTTTGGATCTTGTTTTATTTTCAGAAAACTTGGTTATTTCTGTTTGTCTTCAGGGTATTTGTTTATTTGCCAGCATTCAGAATTTCCTGCCACTCCTCTCAGTATCTGTAGGTAATCATCACAGCAAATGTTATTAATTGTGCTAGAATTGTTGACTCTCAGCCAGCCAGAGTTTTCAACAAGACTTTGGGGTAAAGGCTCCTTCCCCTTCCCATGTCCCCTTGATTGTCTTTCTGTCATGCCTCACAAGGAGTATATATAGTGTGGGATCTCTTCTCTGTCTAGACTTTATCTTAAAATGGTCCATAAAATCTTTTTCTCTGAGGTAGACATTTGTTGTGCTTGGAGATAAAGAAGGAAGAAGAGGCACAGGCAGAGAAGTATAACAACTAGATTCTTCACAATTCACGTTTACTTCTGACACAACCTCTTAAACTTTAACTTTGTTAATTTCCTATTCTAAAACTTTTAACTTAGTTAATTTCCTATTTGTTTATTTATTATTTATTTATTTATTTATTTATTTATTTTTGTCTTTTTGAGACAGGGTCTCCCTGTAGCCCCAGCTGTCCTGGAACTCACTGTGTAGACCAGGCTGGCCTTGAACTCACAGAGATCCGCCTGCCTCTGCCTCCCAAGTGCTGGGACTAAAGGCGTGCCCACCACACCCAGCTTAATTTCTTATTTTTAACACCTCTGTTTAATTTTTAGAATTTCCAAAATTTTTATTTTTTGTAAATTAGAAAAAAATTTTTTCTGCTTCCTGAGTGCTGGAACTAAACGGTGGTATACCCCAGCTATCATTAATTTTTTGAAACATTTTAAAATTCCAATTAAAACAGACTTTGTGGGGCTGGAGAGATGGCTCAATGCTTAAGAGTACTGGCTGCCCTTGTAGAAGACCCTAGTTGGGTTCCCAGTACCCACATGGCAGCTAACATTCTGTAACGCCAGTTTCTGTGGATCCGATGCCCTCTTCTGGCCTCCATGAGTATGTGGTATGCTCACATACATGCAGGCGAAACACTCATACACATAAAAATAAACTTTTTTTTTTTTTTTTGTCTTTTTGAGACAGGGTCTCCTTATAGCCCCAGCTGTCCTGGAACTCACTATGTAGACCAGGCTGGCCTTGAACTCACAAAGATCTGCCTGCCTCTGCCTCCCAAGTGCTGGGATTAAAGGCTTATGCCACCACGCCTGGCCCCAAAATAAAATTTTTAAAAATAGCCTTCCCATTTATAATCTTTAGTTCTATTCCTGAGACTTCCAGTTTAGCATGCAAAAAAAAAAAAAAATCAGGTATGGGGTTAGAGAAAAGACTCAGCTGGTATAACACTTGCTGTTCTAGAGGGCCTAGGTTCCATTCCCAGCACCCACATCAGATGACGCACAACCATCTGTAACTCTAGTTCTAGGGGATATTATGTCCTCTTCTGGTCTCTGCAGACACCTACAGGCATGTAGTGTGCATACAAGCATTCAGGCACACACACATACACATAAAATAAAGTAAATTAAATTTTTTTAAACCACGTATATCAAATGCTCTCCATTGTGAGAACTGTAAAGCCAAGTTATCTTTAGTCAGATTTCCCCATTTCCCCCCAAGACTTGTGAAATAGTTATGATTTATCATAACTGTTAAACATAAACCAGCTGGAGTGCCAAATGGAAGTTTTTCTCCAAACAATTATTTCCCTGAAATTCTGCTCACTCTTTTCACCTTAAAAGGCTTTCCTATGCTAAACAGTGTGATTTGTGTTTTGGATCTGATTTCTGTGCTCCCTCAGCTCTCATCTGTGCTCCCTCAGTCAGTTCCTTCTACTATGTCTCTGTCTGGTGCTCCATATTTACCAAAACATGAGAAGGCTGAGTGATCAACTTTTATTTGTATCTTCTTGACTGAACCTATATGGTGCCTTTCAAACAAAGAATAGGGTATAGTTTTAGGGTGCCCTATGAAGGCATTTCACTTTATGGAGCGTTCCCCATGATACCTCCAACTTATTGGGGTGGTGGGAACAAATGCATCTTTCGCATCTTTATGATCATGTGTTCATGAAATTCCCAAACTGAAAGGGACAAGATTTCAATAATCAGGAGCAGCTATAGAAAAATTTAGAATTTATTATTTACT